TCAAGAACCTGTATTAAGGAACTGAGTGGTATGTTTTCTAAACATTATTTTCATGGTAGAGATTGGCTTCTGGAGCCTCAGGGGCCCAAGAGAAATATCTGGTGGTGGCTTTTGACATTTGCTCTCACCTTCTCCTACTTGGAATGTATCTCTCCTTCTTTCTTTCTTAATTGCTTTAAATCATGAATTAAAGTGGTCTTAAAAAAAGTAATACCTCCAAAGATATCATTATTATTCTGGCTTGAGGCCTTTCTCACCCCTGACCTACTCTGTTTCACCACCACTGTGACCTGCAAAGATACTTGTGTCCCTTCTTTCCCTCTCACTCCTTAGGGCGTAAGCCCCTGAGACTTTGGAGGCTGAGTCCTTACTTAAAGGAAACCCCCTGCTCTAGATTTAAAGTACACACATGTGGGACTTAAACTTATAAAAGAGTTTTAGATACTCCCCCATTTAAAAGCTGGCACTCTAAACTGTGTACAGTGACCATTAAGCATCTAAATATGAATGCAAATAATTCTTCAGGTTATAAAATCCAAAATGACTGTTAAGAAAACAATAGGAGATATAATGAAGTTAGAGAAGATGGAATTTAGAAATGTACCCACTCCCTTGTCTATGGCCATACCACCCTGAATGCGCGTGATCTCATTTGATCTTGGAAGCTAAGCAGGGTCGGGCCTGGTTAGTACTTGGATGGGAGAAATGTACCTACTCCCTGTCTTGTCTTCAACCAATGTATACATCCCCTGCTCATAGATACACCCAGAGGGACACAGTGTTTTCAAATCAGTGCTTACAGTATGTGAAATGTAAACATAATTTTACATGATTTGCTGCTTTGCATGATTCTTACTAAGTTGAAATTCTTTTTTTCATAGGAACACATTTCCAGTAGTTCTTACGGAAGTTAACTGAATAATATGATTTTTGAAGAATTATTTTTACATATGTATTTTCTGAAACACGACTATTCAGTAAAGTTGGATATCCCTTTAGAGGCTTAAATTAGTATAAGCTTTTTCTGCAGAAACAAGAGGACTTGTTTCAGGAGGATTGCAGTTGACCTGGCAGAGCTGATATGCACATGTATATTTGCAACCTCTCCTACATGCTGGCAGCCTAGATTACTTCCTTAATTTGTTTAACAAAAGGTACAGATGCTTTGACTCCAGTGGCCCCACAGAGCAGGTGCATTTGCAGACTCAATTGCTGACACTCTCTCATTAAGGGAGGGCCTGGCGAGTTATGAGACACTCATCTTTTCCTTCTTCCCAGCCCTGTTATATCATCATTTGGGAAGAACTTAAAGTAGCTTAATAGGACACATATATGGACATTCTGGACCCTTCTGTTCTCTGTGCCAATCTAACTCTTGGCAAGGCCAGATCTTCTTGCCCTCTGGTGGGAAGAGCAGTCAGCATCCATGCATTGTCAAGGAAGAGCTCACCCTTTGGCTTACTGGTGTCCTCAGAGGCTGACATTTCCAAACCAGACTATATGTCTCTACCAGCAAATGGAAAATAAAATAAAAATTACTGAATCCCAGCAGAGATACTATCTGATTAAAACATGAATATATTTTGCTTGTAGATGGTAATTTTTAATGTAATCTGTATCTCAGTGAAATTTCATAGAGATTTGGAATGAATTAAAATGCCAGAACTGTCAGCTATAGTGATCACTCAAATTTCTTTATTGTCCTTGGATGTTTACTCAGAGATTCTTAA